GAACAGTATCCTTGAGGGGGCCAGCCAGTGTTTTGGGGGCAGGAGAGAGGAGGAAGGGGAAAGGGGGGGAGGGCAGACCGCGATGCATCTTCCTCGCCCCACATCCTCACCGATCGACGGGGGCTTTCTCCTCTCGACTCCTCCTTTTCCTTCTTCTCGTCCGTGCGGTCGCAGGATCAGCAGCCGTGGTACTGGCTTGTACTCGATCCAGCCGTATTCCCCCACCCCTCCCTCACTCCCTTCCTCCTCCAACAGCGCCATCACCGCCGCGTGTTTCTCGGGGGAGACCCGGGAAGCCACTATCACACCCTGCGCTGCACACGCTCGCACGCCCTGCCCCCCGCTGCCGACAGTCGTGACGTTCCCCCCTCCTCGTCCTCCTTCCCTTGCGCCTTCCCCTCCCTCCGCACATGGCCCCGCTTGCCCTGTCCCTGCGTTTGCGGCTGCCGTTTTCTTGGCTGCGGAAAGCGTTTCCCCACGCCCGTCCTCACGTTGAGCCAAGCCTCTTTCCCCCTCCTCCTCCAATCGACGGCGACGGCCCATACTCGTCAGGATAGCCACCAGCTGTTCCGGCGTCTTTCCCTCCCCGAAAATGATCTGTAATTATGTGAGAGCCGCATGATAGTGTAAGCCCAGTACGATGGCATCGGAAGGGGTCAAAGGGCCCCGGCAGGTCGCGCGCCAGCAGAGCCTAATGAGTGATCTGCGACCGAAACCATGCGCGCCTGGCTTGTCGGGAGGCTGGAACGACCAAAGAAGGAGATACGCTGGAGCTAATTCTTCCTCCTCCTGATGTTTTCCTCCTATATTGGCCACGATGTTTCCGCCTCCCGATTCTCCCCCCTTGCTGAACTCACCTCCGGCAATCCGGTGCGTGCCGCCCTAGATATGTCGACCTTGGCAAAGCTTTCTACCGAGTCGTATCCCTTTGCTTTCTCCGTGTTTTCTCCTGCTGCTCCTTTCCATATGTGTGGTTGAAGTCGAAGCAGCTCGGTTTCGGCCTCGAATGGCGTGATTTTACCGTGGGAGAGCCGAGACAAGATCCCTGACATGGAATCGGAGGAAGAGGAGGAAAAGAAGGAGGAGGAGACTTGCGGACCGACACGTGACTGGACATTGGCGGAAGATGTCGGATAGGCGGTTGCAAGAAAGGTACGAAGGACAGGAAGAAGGAAAAATGGGCGGCGGCTGCAGAGAACTGGGTAAGACGGCATGTGAGAAATAAAGACGCCTCACCCCCACATCTACCGCAACCCTCCTTCTGCCACTGTGACCTGACGTTTAGTTCGAGGGAAAAAAGCTAAGACTGAGAAAATAGTAACCTCCCAAATACGTGATGAACTCATCTCGTAAATTACGTTTGCAGGAGGTTTGCTTTTGGCGTTGGGGGGGAGGTTAATGCAATGTGAGGAAAAGAGGGAGCCTTTGCCAACCATGTGCTTGTACACAAGTGTGCAAGCTCTTTTTTCAGTGTAGCCATCTGAGTTGGATTGACTGGACGTGTTGTGTTACAGGCGTATATCTCTTGTTGCGTTTGGAGGGAAGCAAGGTGATCGATAGTACCTCTATAACGTCAAAACCACCTGCTGGCCATCACATGCCGAGAAAACTGCGTCCATTTTAAAGACCAGAAACGCTTCGAGTCAAATCAGTTTACCCACGTATGAACGAGACGGGGACAAAGCCTTCTGTGATAGTGCTTTTCAACAAAAAAGAGCACACAAGGCGCCTGCCTACACACGCTCACACTTACTGTAGGAATCGCCACAACTGTCACGGTGTGGAAAAAAGCGATGCTTTTTATCAGCCCAGAAAGATGTTAGTTTTTCCAGTAGCTGTGCGACCACAGTAGTAAATCACAATGGCTGCGAGACCGGACTTGTCCTCTTTGGAGAACGCTGTAAGACCCGCGATGGCCTTGATTTTGTTCTCGTGCCCCCCGCAGTAGCCGCTGCACACAATACAGGAATAAGCGAGGTTATGGTTGGTGTTAATTTTGGAAAAGCAAAAGGTGTGAAAATGTAGTAAATACGTTCTGTCGAGTATGGAGCAAGACGGAAGATACTTTCTCGTCGGCATAAACGTGTGGGGACAATTTATGGTACGTTGAGAGGCTAGGAAGGCCCATCTTTTTGCCCAACGTATAGGCGATTTCTCTTCAGACAGAAGTCCCTTTTGCTGAAAAGGGATCGAGTTTCACAACGCGTGGCTTTCTTACCGTCGATAATTTGCCTTCTGTGGCTCTGTCCTTGCGAAATTACGAAGTACCTGGATATGGTCAGACAAGCAGAGGAAACGTTACCATGGGAAGCGTAGCTCTAATATCCTGATCTTTTCTCCCAAACGTGGATAATGCCTGGCTCGAAACGGGGTAGCATTCATTTATTCCGTTCGACATGTAGCGTACGTGATCCTCCTGCAAGTGTTTTCGTCTGCCCTATGGGTAAGGCAGGAAGCACACGTATCCGGCCTTGAAGGGGCCCATGCGTTGTGGCGGAGATAGGAGGAATAAATTGCTCGTTATTGCCGATTTTCCCATGCGTTTTCGCGTAAAGAATTTAATTCGTCTAGTAATCAAGAAAAATTTAGTATGTTTGCTGAAGTGGGCAGGTTTTTACCCTTTTTGGGGGGGGAATTGTTCAAGCACGGGACTTCGTTCCTTCTCGTTTCTTTTTGTAAGTCGACCAGTGCGGGCAAAGTGTCGCGTACCCAGAACATTTACGACTGCAAGCAATGACAACATTTTTATTTCATATCAAATCATTCTGTTGGGGGGAAAAGATAGGACCAGACATGTCACAAATGCTGCTTAAGTCCATGCTTTTTCCCTCTCGCTTGTCCGACCCCGCTCCATTCCCGGGATGGGGTTTCGGGCGGCTTTCGCGCACTGCTCTCAGTCTCGTATGACTCTTGGAAAGAATATGGACACCACAAATTCTATCCCCAGTACCCCAGGGGTGCTGTCTAATCCACTCCAGGTGGTATCGTTCTCCGGACTACCTCTTTTCTCCGCACACTGTTTTTTTTGCCCGTTGAAAAGGGGTGGTTAAGTTTTTCCGGTCGTGCGGCGTTGTAGTGTGCGTCGTAGCCGACATCCACTAAGTGTAGTTTGCGAGACGAAACGATGCGCTCCATAACAATGAGCGTTTGATAGCATTGTTTACGCTGAAGTTCTGTGGGCTGCGCCGATGGGCAGAAGGAACGAAGGCAGATTGATTTCGTATCCTCCGGCGCCTGCACGAGGTCGCATACACGTCAATTTGGCACGGTGTGGCCACCGCTTCCTCTCCAAAACACGAACAGTCCACATTCTCAATCATCCCCCACCTTGTCAAGACAGAGAGCCATGGGTAAAAGTAGCGAGAAATATAAGAAACGGTCGCGGTCGGACGCCGAGGTGGAAGAGGGTAGCGGGACCTCTGGGGACGATACTTCTAGTAGCCGCCACAGCGACGAAAGGAAGCGGCGGAAACACAAGCACAAGACATCGAGTAGAACCCATAAGAGCAGCAGCGGCAGCAGGAGAAAGCATAAAAAGCGCAGGGAAAGGTCTCCTAGCCCCGACGCCTCGGTTGCCTCCAGGTAAGATGGACGACAGAAGGGAAGAGCAGAGGGTAAGGTGAAGCGGAAGCAGTAAGGAATGGCACATCCACATGCGTTTACACAGCCACAGGGACAGAAAGAAGGCGTCCAAGCAGAAGAAGGACGGAAGCAGGAAAAAGGAGGACGCGGGTGGCCAAAATGGGGGCGCGAATTGGTCCCGCTTGG